TAATAGATCATAAAATTTACCTGGAGGTGGAATGGTTGACCTAGACAAATGATGTAGAGCTCAGCAAGTGAAATACAATCACTCGCATATGGAATAAGGTGTAACTGCTGTGCCACCGACGCACAGCAGTTAGAACGATCGCCAACCATTCACATGGTTCGAGTTTCGATTCCAGGCTGCCGCACTCTTGATTTCAATGGGCTATCAATATCACATGCTGAAAATTCCATACTTGTACCAAAATACTTTTTGGAATCAAGCTATAATGAAAAAAACTATGATCAGCTAAAGAGAGTGGTAAATAACTGGATTTTTGTCCACGAAATCACCACTATATATATAAAGAATATTTTGAAACATTATGATTTACTAATGATTCAAGTTGTCAAGCGGTAAAACCTAGTATCTAAATGCACACATAAACGCGTAAAAATCATATCATAATGATAACGCTCAAGTGGATATATATATTCATCGTTATTTCCACACAAATGAATTTTTAATTGCAGACATCTCACAGTTCAGGGCTAAATCCCAGTGGCCTGTAAATTACAACTTTGAACCAGGAATTCGACCAATTTTCTCAAACATAAAACAATCGTATGCTAATCCGCTGCTGTCTCAATTAAACGAAAGAATAACATCCCCATTCCTAAATTCATTCAATGGAAACTGCTACACTACAAGTTGAGTGGAGAAACGATGTAGTTCAAATTGTGTTTCACATGAAAAAGACAAAACTTCTTTAATTCAAAGCGAAATGGCCATTAAGTATTTAAGATTCACTTGGTAATATTGGATTTGAATTCTTACAATTGTCAACTCATCTTTTTTTATTTATTCGAATTTCTATAACTATAATAAGTTATTTATACATAAACTGATGGATCCTAAGATAAATCCTAAGAAATTTTATACCCTCCACGATCTACTGTAAAATTATTCACAGTAAATTGCCTCATTTTTCGCGAATATGTGCAGGAAATTAAAATATAAGTTCGCTATAGTGTTATTCACCATATTCATAGCTTGAGACAATAACTATAAATTTCTTCTCGGAAATCCTAAGCGATAACCCAATCGAAAAATTAAACCACATGTTAACTGACACGCAAAATACAAAATCAAAGGATTTACTCAGAGTGCTGTACCATACTTTACATAAAGTTATGAAATATAACATAGAAATTTTAAATGTTGAGGTGTCCGTGGCCGAATAGCTTCAAAAGCTCAGTCACTGTAAGTCACCAAGAAAACGTGCAAAGCTGTGACAAAGGCAATCCTCGATCAGCCTAAGCATGAAGTAAATGCAAGACAAAGAATGATAATATTCAAGTAAACAGCGCTCAACTGAGAAGGTTGTACAATAAGACAGAAAAACAAGATGATGTCCATCTGTTTGGAAGTAATTACTCCATGTCAAATAGAGCATTAGGACACCGAGCGAGTGTAGTACTATTATTCGTACTACTAAGTAGTAGTTAGTAGCGTAAAACTGAACACGAAATCAGGGTTAAGAAAGAAGGGGTAGGAAAGGATCTAATATCGCCTCCATCAAACTGGTTTGTTTCTACTTTGTAACTTAATTAGCCAGATCTCAATCCACAGTTTGGCTGTAAATTCTTGGAAGCACTTGCCTTTTCTTAGTACTTTCTTAATAAGCCAACCTTACATGAATAACTCTTGGACAATGACTGAGTATTAACTGAGGTTGATGGTGAATAACCTGTAGAAGTGACTTGAGTTCGGTGAACTAGCGAATTAATAGCTGGACTTGGGTCTCCAGGAACATTTCTGTACTCTCTGAACTACCATTTTTATGTTTAATAGGTTGATAAGCATGAAGTGTATCTAAATTTCTTGTTCTACCTTACATCTGAATAGTTGGTTGTGCAGATATAATTTCATTTATAGGAGTCCCTTCATCATAACGATCAACAGATGGTGATTAGTCAAAACTATCAAAAAAGGTAGTTGATGGTTAATTAGACTATAAGTGCACTAGGTTGTGGTTCTCAGTTATTCCTTTCAGATGCAACAATGGCTGGTACATTTGGATGAGCGAGTTCCCCCGAAGTAGATGACAATGTTTCAGTTTTTCTAAGGTGTGTAATTTGAGCAGAAGATTAAGATAGGATAATTTCTTCAGAATTATCAAAACCTAGTACAACATGAACTTGAGCCTGATTTAAATATGATGAACGACTGATATCTGGCATTTGCTAGTTAACAAGGCATCATGATTTTCCTATACAACCTGCACAACACCTAGCTTCACCTTCAACAGGGGTAAATGGAGCCAGTAACTTCACTTTCCTTTTTTGATGACCTCTTTATGTTACGCCACCTACATAAAATTCAATTTCAAGTTCAACTTATTTGATGTTTACTTCAACTAATAATCTTGATTCATCTTTCCTTTTTTCCTCGGAAGCTAGTTCAGCCTAAGTCCTTATTCAAATCCGTTAGGTGATACTTTATGACAACCTGCTTTTCATGTTAGTGGAATTTCATAAAGGCCATAGTTTAATCTTACACCCTTCTCAGCCACTGAGAAAACTGCTTTATCTTCTATGAAAGTAGATCTCTTCCATGCTTGGCTATCTCGAGGTTCGACTCTAAACATTCTGAAGAAATAATTTTTTACTGTTTTACTTTTCTCTGAATAGAAGATAGGTGTAGCCTTCTCGTAGTTATTCTAAAGATCCAGTGAGACCCAACTGAATACCAATAGGGATCCGAATGGATGATCTGATTTGCATCTAACATCTAAAAAGGGTATTTCTGCAAGATGTAGTCATCGTTACAGCTGCCGAATTCCTGGAATCCCAGCTCCATTCACAGGCAGACTTTCTGTAGTATAGGCTATTTTCACCTTTACCTTCAAATCTGCTTTTAGGGGTTCTACATGAACTCAAGTTGTCAATTCGTTCGGTTACCAATGGTTTGATCCACAGTCAAATATATTAAATTCCTTTAGTCGTTTGCGAAGAATTACCGTTTTATACTTCCTACTTCTTTCAGCATAATTTAAGTTTCGGCATCTTCACTGCTAATACCTCTATATCAGTTGAACTATCTGAGTCAAAATCTAGCACCACTTTAACGCTTTTGGACTGTTCACAGTATAGGTCGTTTCCAATGGATGAAGTATTATTACAGTACCCAGTGAATGTGAGGACTTTATTCTCGTGTGCTTTTGTGTGCTACAATTTGTTTAACACGAAATTCATCTACGTCATGTATTCCCCTATGTCTTTTGTCCTGTTTACAAAATTTCCTTGATTTCAGTTCAACATTACTCACCTTACGCCTTTTGATTTTTTTTTGATTTACAGCTTGATTCCACACACTGAGATATTTTACCGGAAAATATTTGCTGTAGTTGTGTAATCTATAATGACCAAGGTAAAGCCAGAGTCATGGTCTGTTAAGATGTGATCTTCAAGAGACAGCCAGACTTAGAAAACGCTATGAAGGGTCATTCTAAGTGAAATAATGTCTGCCCTTTTCGACTTGATGAGAGTAGATACAGTATTATGCCTTTTGCCCTAAGTTTTTTCCCTGTAAATCCAAACTGTTACGTAGGGTTTTAGTCTCAACTTTAAGGTCCAGGCTTAATGTCAGGATAAAGGTAAAGTTAAGATTACGGTCGGAGTTAGGGGTAGTTTAAAGAACAATGTCAGAAATATGAATGGGTCTTAAATTACCATGTTTCACAGCCACTGAAATATATCCATCTATCACGCATTGTATGGTTTCGCTTAAGGTTGTGTGTGCTGTTACTGGGAGACAATCTTAGAACATAATTCTGATGGTTCTCCGAGATCTACGAAATTTTGGCTATGAAAGCTTATTTAGTACCTTAGAGCATTCTTAACCACGTTTTAGTTGCACTTTGTTTCTACCCAAAAACTGAGAACTCTATTATCAAGTGTACCGCTCTATTTATACTATAAGTAATCAATACTTTCAACTCCTAATAATCTAACAACTTAAATCACTTACTGCTGGTTACAGAGGTGAAAGAACGTCTAAATCCTTATTGTAGCTGAACGCACTGAAATATATATCATGAACATTATCGTCTCAACTGTTCTTTGCTGTCTGCATTCAAATTGTACCCCTCACTATAAAGTTAATTACGTGATGAACATTCATGTGTCAAGTGAACACTGTATATAATAAAACCAATGGTAGAGAACCATCGGAAATCTTAGGAGTACTCGATTGCAGTTTCATCAGCCTAGTTTGGGACTCTTCAGCAGTACGCACCCACCAAATGCGTTTAAAACTATGACCTTTTGGTTACAAGGCTAGCAAGCTCGTAGACCATTAAGCCAATGGGGACCCATCCAGCGGCCTATGAATTCTAACTTCTGCGAATTCATGAAACAGCGTGCCACTACGCAATGTCTTCTTCAATACGTTACTGACTAACGTGCAACCTGCTGCACCTAGAAAGTTCTGGGTTCAAACGCCACTATGTGCGTTCTTCTTAGAAGATTTTCCAATGGTTCCCTAACTTATGTCAGCCCATGATGAAATCCTCCGAATAATCAAACAAAACCCCTATAAAAACAAATAGTTTTAAGTCGATGGTAGTTTCTAGAAGTCGTAGCTAAAACCCTGGACCAGCTCCTCTTAATACTGAATCTGAACTTTCAACTGCAAATTTAATTACCAACCTCAGATTTGGCATTTCACAGTAAATATCAAGTGATGATGTCTTTCAGACTCTAGATATCGAGCAGTTTATTAATCCCCGAAATTCACAGATGAATGAATAGAAATTAAACTACACAGCAAGTGTGTCGACAAGTTAATCACATGCAAAATCACTCAATTTTTTTACGCTAAACCAACACTGGTTTAACATCACTTCAATTTTGAGATATCTGAATCAGTTAGTGATTGTTGTAGATTTACACCGAGGCACGAGGTAGAAGTCAATGAAAATATCGAACATTTAATGCGCGTTAAAAGAATTTAGCATTTTATTAAAGATGAATTTTATAAGGTGAAATGTCAGTAATTGTAACTTCTATCCGACCTATAAATCGTGAGAAAAAAAATGCTAATTACACACAATAGTTATAGGCTTCTTTTTCAAATCCTGTTAGTCAGTTACACATGTTAGAAGTCCTTTCTAGCCTAAAATGACGAAACAAATTCTTGATTTCAATAAATTATTGCAAGTTCCGATACTTATGAATTACGATTTACAGTAAGTTCTTTAGTATGCATTAGCGCAGCCCTGTAGTCCCTTTACACTCCCCATTGGACTACATATTTAGTAAAAAAAAGTGATTAATCTAGTGTGGAAAGTGAACAGTGCTGTTTAGTGAAAGGTTATTGCATATCTGGAAACAGGTCAACCACGACTGGTGCTACTAAATAAATTGACTGGGTAATAAGAAACACAAAATTTACGAATCATGAAGATCAAATAGATCCCTGCAAACCGTCTAAATCAATCACGGAATTCTTTTCCTAGTAATTACGACTACACATCACGTGTGTTGCTACAAAATAATTTCAAGAACCTCTGTGTATGTCACCACTATTTTAGTGGAATATAAATTTCAACTACTCTACAGCAAACATTTTCACTTTTAGCATCTTATGATCACAGAGTCGGTAAACGCGCAGAGATGTAGAACTAACTGAAGTTGCATTACTCTAAAGAAAGTTGTACACTCTTTGATGTTTCAGATTCAACATTTGAATGCTGGTTCGCCTGAATTCAGTTATATCATTATTCTCACTTTTCAGCGGAAATGTAAACTAGCCGTCAATTTGGTTCTCACAAATAATAATGGCTTTACATATATTCAAGCTTTGTGGGCTACTAAATAGTTTAAGTCGCCTAACATACCAGCTTCTAACTGAGTTAATTTCCTATTCATTTAGAAGTAATTAATTCTCCATAAAATTCTTCATAAAACTGATTAGGTAGGAAATGAAACGAGTAGAATAGAAGACTTACCATTGTGATTAAACCTTGAAAATATTCGTTCTTTCTAATTTAAGGAATAAGTTGAAAGACATACAACATTCGTAACGTACGTTGTTGGTGTGTAAATCAAAATGATATTTTCTCGGTAATATTTTTCACTGATGATTACCATTTACAAATTCCTCATGATATTCATTGAAACAATTTAATGATTAACAACGTAGTGAATACTAAGCAAGTGCAGAAATAATAAGTGAATGTCAAAGGCCAGATATGAAAGAACCATGAGCTTGATCCAGTGGAGATATCACGATGTATTAATAACTAAGATGAAAATGCAGAAACTAACTTCACTTTTAACCTCCCGTTCCCGATGTCCCCTAAAATGACAATGACATTTTCGTAATTTAAACCATACAGGTGAGTCAAAAACAGTAGGTAATAACTGATTCAGGTGAGGTACAAACCAAGCTAAGCTTTCCCCCAGCCTCAAATACTTTGAATCAATCACTTAGTGCAGTTATATAATCACTTTATTAATGTAATTAAGGCATGTTACTAACTGAAACGTTCCAAAAACACTCAATCGAAACAACTTACATGTGGAGTTTGACCATTTGACTACGGTTAAATTAAATTCATTGCAACCTGTCTCAATGACGCATACTCCCACGAAGTTCAAATTTTATGAAAACTTATACAGGGAAATCTGACCCTGGAAACGTGCATGATCAAGAAGTCATGGCTATTCAAACTGTAATTTGAATGCTTCACATAATTACTGTGTCAGAAAAATAATATTTGGACTATCAATGACCAAATTTTATGAACAAGAAAGTACTAAAAACACTGAGGAGATAATAGTATAAGTTCACATCTAAGAAACCTGTAACTGATATTTTAGAGAAATGTGAATACATAAGACATTAAATAGGTAACGATAACAAAGCTCAAAGTCCAGTACCACCATATAAGATATATGAAGCACTCAGTGACAAAAATAGAACCTTTCAGTGAGCAATTCGCCTCTTATCTATATTAAGAGTCATCACAATCATCATAAAATTACTTATCAGTTTTTTAACTAGCTCGTTACCATCAATCTCTTCCTGATATTGATCTCTTTTCTACTGAATGGTTTTCAAGAGTTTATAGTGAGGAAGGCAATTGAATGTGAACAGAACAGTATTATCAGCTAGACATAGAACTAGTGAGAGCATTATTCAAACAGGTAGTTATAAATACTTACTGAAGTGAGGTGACCGTACTATAACGTAAACAAAGGTATACAATGCACTGGTGACAAAATTGAGCAAACATGAATTTTATACTTGACCAGACAAAGTGAGACGTTCAATAGTTTTATGAAGCTTAGGCACATCCAGTAAATTTTGTAATAGAAATATTAACGTAATCATCGTGGTGCACCTTTAAATGAGACAGAATCACTGCTGTTTGGTAAAATGTGTTAGCAGTATGAGAATCAGTTAGAGTAATTTACTTTCGGAATTCCGACGAACAAAAGACTACTGAATAAATATACTAAATGAACACTAACCGTCCACTCAACTGAATAGATGCTTTTGTGCATTTATGTTAATTTAAATTTCAGTTACACTTCTGTCTTATCTTATGTAAACAAAAATGATATTGACTGTGTCATTTATTCTTTCACCTTCTGTAACTGTGATATTTTCAGGTGAATATTATCAAAACGACTGAGGGTAATTCTGCAAACGCATTTACTCATAATCTTAGTGGAGTAATTATGTAAACGGGTAATAACAGTGGATTATCGGTGCCCCTAAATCACCATTCTAGCATAAAAGCAGTCCGTGTAACACAACTTTACGATATTAAATTCCATGGAATTTGTATTATGTGGAATCCGAGAATATTCTTTGACACAATATTTCAGTTAGTCAGTATGATTCAGTTTTCACCTGGGATGTCTTGCAGAAGAATTTACTTAAATATTCTTATCACTTCAAAAATACATGTTGAGCCTGTGTAGCTTTCATTGTTGATATGACTATGAGTATCCAAAAGATAATACTGTTTGACAGAGTGTTATTTACCCAATAAGCAAGATAAATATGGAATTCAATAATTTCACGGGGCTCAAATTTCACTAATAAAATAAATATTAATAATGAGAATATCCCTGATAAGTATATTCAGCTGACGAGACAGCAAGTTTTCAGGAATTGTAGCATTATTCATAATGCAAGTGACTTTTAGCGTGAACATCTAAAAGTTTCAAAGTCTTCATCTGTGGATTCGTTTTAAGTCACACACTATAGTAGCTTCATTTTACAGAAACAAAAATCCAATACAAGTAATTAAATATAAAAGAGCCTGTATTCTTTGGATATCGGGACAACAATTGCATCTTTCATTACCTAGAGGCTTACATGAACAGTAACAGACACTTGACTTTATGCCAACTCTCTGCGGGCTTAATACAATTAATAATGAAACACTTGTAGTGAGTAGTTCAGTTTCTTTTTGGCATTTATATTCATCACAAGCAGACATTGGTTAGCCAACCATTGAGGTACAGCAGTTTGAATGTTTAGACAAATACTCGCTACCGATTACATTGGCTGGTGGTCGCACTATATCACTTATAAAACAGAAGTTGGAATTCATGGGCCACTCGATCGAGTCCTGGTGACTTATAGGTCTACCAGCTCACCTTGTAAATGGGGGATCCTGTGGTCGACCCTCTGTGCTAGATGCATAGTACTGAATAGTCCTAAACTACGATGAAATACCTGATTATTACTCTTAGGTTTCCCAATGGTTCATGATGAAATCCTGCAACCAGTCAAATCATATCCCTGCCAACCAGCACTTGAATGCTGCCATTGTGATTGCTTGTTATATTTTCACCCTACTCATTTCCGGTAATCACACTCTTATTATGTTTTGTTTTACTGAATAGCTGTCAAGAGTGTGCTTACAAGAAGATATTATCAGTCAGATAAAGAACTAACGATAACTTCACTCAAACAAGGAATGATCAAGACTTACTTGCTCAAGTAGTTCCTGCTATTATCATGCAAACGCAACAGAATTCTCAAACATATTTGAAAACAGGTAACTGATCTATGGAAACATTTTAGTTATTTCATTGGTATCACGAATGTGAAATTTGTTTTGAGAAGTTATTTATTTCAATCTGAATGACAAAGTTATTGATTCTTCCCAAAGTAAAAAGTCAGTTGAGAATTCTGTCACTGACTGTGAGTACTAAAATGTCATTTTCATACTTCTAATTATCTAATGTGTTATTCACGATCGGATACGATGTAACTCACTACCATATGTATGTTACAGATTTGCAATCTCTGTTTAAAGCATTGAAGACGAAAGATTTGGTAAAGGAATGTTTAAAACTATTGGTTGATATTATGAATTATCAAAGTTTCTGCCTTGTTCAGTACAACAGAGCCTTGATAAGGTACCTGTTCAGAAGAATCCAACGAATATACACTGAAGACATACTTGATGAGGAAGAAAGACAGTTGACACGAAGTCTGGTTGATAACAATTATCCAGACAAAATCATCAGGAGACATGAATTAGTCAGAACACCACGACCGGCTCTCCAACTCGCTGCTAAGAAAGACGTGTACATCAAGCTACCCTGGAGCATTATAGCAGCTTTATAACTAGACAAGGACTAAACACTGCTGTTAAAAAGACTTTATATGCAACTGATATCATAGTAATTGGGAATGTAAAGCCAATATATCCATCTATCTAAGTCCTTTGAACATGTCTAAAGTGGAGTCACATCTCACTACATTTACCACTTTGAATGTACGTGTGGACATACGGTGGACTCATCGACCTCTGCAGGTAAGTGCTGGCTTCAGACAGTATTCCTAAATCGCTTCAGAACTAAATCGAATCCTCAGGGCCCATTATTGGTGAGACCATGAGACATAGCTACTCTACTGTGAAACATATTATAGAGACAGGACATTAAATTCACGTTAACACGTCTTTTAAACTTATCCGAAAGTTTGTGGAACCTTTCCTTAGATAGTAGTTAGGAAAGTTAAACCTCTGTTATGCGTTCAAAGACAATTCGTGATCACACTGAAACTTGGATACCAGAGAGGGTAGATGTATTATTTGACCTATTCTATTGCCAAACATATAATATAGACATGACATAAAAGTGACGTTAAAATGTCTTTTAAACCTATCAATAAAACATGTTTGGGGCGTATCCTAAAGTTTGTGGAAGCCCTAGCTGGGAATTAGAAAGTTTAAGCCATCTTCATGCGATCAAAGCAACATTTCGCCATCACATTATACCCTCCTTGGTAATTTTTTTCACACCATAGCAGATGTACTATTACCTCTGTTATTTGATTTAGTTACCTTCGCTGTTATTTTGATCTCATATATGTGTCCTATCAACGTGACCTTAGTCTGTTTTCCTACGTCTTACCTCCAAATTAATTCCATACATATATTCCTATGACAAGTCCGTGTGTGATGGATCAGATTATTCGAAATGTATTGCGCAAATACATTACGCGATTCAGACAAATTACGTCTCCTTATTGCTTTATCCAAATTCATAAAATTGGGCATTTATATAGCTAAATTCTTTACACCTTATCATTAACGCACCATTTGCACAGATCTTCCATGTTGTGTGACTTCTAGCCTTCATAAATTTTTTCTTTGTGTCCGTCTCACTTATCTAAAGTATCTCCGCAACGCTATATTATTTGACTTCTCTGATATCCGAGCTACCTCCTTGTCATTTGATGTTTTTATACCGATAAACATCCCTTTACATATATATATATATATATTACTGATAAGTCTTATCACTAGCCTACGCCACACAGTGACGTATTTAAGTGTAATAAGTACCTGTTTTTGGAAGCACAGAGTGATTAGTTGTTGCTATATTATATTATGAATATTTAATTGACATGAACGCAGTAAAATAATGCCAACATTTCTACTATATTTTCATAAAATGTTGGGATGCTTACCTTAGCTTCGTCAGGTTTATAGTACACTGAAATAAAGAATTGCATAAATTCGCACGTATATCAACATTAACTCATATTGCATATGTATTATTCAGTCAGAGTGAGTAATCCGCATAAAATATTATATCTTAGCGAAAATCAAGAGCAACGTCTAATATTTGTATAAAGTATTACTTTCCTTCAGGTCGACCATTTAGAACGCAGTTCATTATAATGCCTAACAGACGAATGTGACCAAAAACCGAAACATTACTTACAAGTTTTCAGCATGATTCTTTTTAACACACAAAATAATTTGATGCATGGTGGCGTAACTAGGTCCACTTTAACTTCATCAGACGAAAATAAGTTCAACATATTTGTTTGGATTCCACCTCATAACTCATCCACTGTAAATTTATTATGAACTACATTGTGAAAATGGACGGATTAAAGTTGTTGCTAGTAAATGAATATTGTATTTGTATAGAAGAATACGAAATGATCTGGCCATTATTCACTTCTGAGATCAGAGAGCGTTAAAATTAGCACCGGAATTAGATCAGTTCTTTAGAAGAATGCCATTATGATAGAAATGTCAATTTAAGCCTAGAAATACGCAGAGGCTTACATTTGCAAATAATGTGGTTTGGAGCGAAGCAACCTATGGAATGATTATACAGATAGTACGAAAAGCAACAATCTTATTTAAGTGATAATTTCTAATAAAAAGTAATAAAAGGCTGCACATGTGAAACAGTAACTACTATTCGATATAAAACCTGGTGATTAGTTTCAAAAAGACTGTCTTCTCAACACTTAATTATCTTTTTGTAGCTGTCAAAGAAGCGTGACTCAAGGAACCTATCAGTTAGGTGAATGGCGTTTAGCTGATTGGAATCAGTGTATTTTCTTGAACCTGATAAATAGAAATCATTTGCGCAGCTTACGAAAGAACCTCCGTAGTCGGATAATTGGCGAGAGTTAGCTTTAAAAGAAAGTGTGATATTCACACAGAACTGAAGCCGATTAAAACGGACAGAGAGATTTCACACTCGGAAACATCAGCAAAGATTTCCATTCCTATTAAATGCAGATTGCGTGGAATAACATTCAAATACTACGAGTGAGTTATTATGTAAGTTGGTGGTGTTTTTCTTGGAAGGAAATAATCAGTGATTCTCTATCTAGAAATTGACCTATTGATGATTCATCACAATTAAGTATTTCTACTAGTAAACATTTTTCATTTATTTTGTGAGCAGCCTCGAAACGAATATTTAGTAGAAAAAAACTCACTAACAAATTTAGAAGTGAGAAGAAATAACCCAAGTGAAAGGAAACGTTTTGATAGCATAACGAAGCTATTTAGGTCACTGTTTCCATTCGATAGCACGTAGATATTCAGTCCAGTCTGAAGTCGTCAGTGAGACACGTCATTTTGCTGAATTATTAGGAAAAATTACTTCCATGTATGTAAAAATCTGCTAACACAACTTACACACAAGCCACATCAGAAATCCCGATTCGGTTGGTGGCAGAAACATGACATCTATGGAATTAAATCAAAGTTATGGGCATTAGTTACCGCCCAACTAAAAGTGATTTGATAAAATAAGAAGTTTGATTTCATAAAATAACCCAATAGAATTCAGAATACTCTGATGTTTGAAATGGTAATTAAGTGGCTGTCTTGCATAAATAACCAGCACATTTATCATCGAAATAGTGAGCTACTTACATAAGACAGTTGACGCTAATAGAGTCAACCATATTTTACTGATCATCATTCCTCACACAGATTGTGTAATTGCAGTGTAACACACTGACTGATATTTATTTTTAAATATAAATTTACGCATCAGGGGTCATGTGAAACGCTTTTTGACAGCATGCAATTTCATTCGCTTAGCAGTGGAGCATGTGTAAAAGACAGACACTGGAAATGTAGGAGGGTTTTTTACTCTGGTGGGTAGAATCCTTTTCCAATGTCTCTGTGTGTTATTTTCATTCTGATTCCGATTTCAGATTTCTGTCTCTGAAAAGGGATAGATCAATGGAAGCAAGGAATGAGATTTATTCTCAGAAGGATGCATTTCGAAGAGAATGACATTGGCAGTAGTATATTCAGTAATATATATCAAACCATGGTACGAATACAGAAATGAATGCCTTAATTCTTAAGCTTTACTCTATGTTGGTAGTGATTTGAGAAGCATCATTCTGTGAATTGAAACCGAATAGAGTGAGTGTTTATGGTGAACTTGGAAACAGTTGCCATTCAGTTTTCATGAAATTTGCATCGTGGGATTAAAAATGCGAGTTAAGTAGCAACAAGATAATCACATATTCAGGACGACTGCACATTTTACGAATATAATCGCAACTACTTCTTTTGAATATTGTGAAGGCGTATACATTATGATGTCCCTTCACTAGAATAATTTTCCTTTTGGGTTCCAAGTGGAACATTAGATTTAGATAGCACATCTTCATTTAGCCCTGTCCTTTGCTGTCCTATTAATCTGACACCACTATGTCCCATGTGCCTTCAGGTCTTCTTCGCGTGATATCATCCATCTCACCCTTAGAATCACGTCCAATTCCTCGTTTTGTATTCTCGTTTGACCCGACAGCATGGTGCGCGCCGTCATCAACTGTGTGTCCAGTGTGAATCCCATTCATCCTTTTGTATTCAGTATATTTACCAGATGTCAGAATCTTGATTGGCTTGTTATCAAACTTTATTTTTTCTGAACCTTTCTGGTCACATGGCTTAGATGAAGAATGAATTCAGCTGTTGATTACGTTTTCCAGCCTGTTATAAATGCTCTTATTCAATCACCGAATTTCGAATCTATTAGGAACTGAATCAGAGTTGTTGTTTAGTTGCTGCTGGTTCTTTATGCTGACTGCAGAAGATTTCCACATCGGTTTAAGAGCGGCGAATATCCATCTTGTCTTTCCGATTCCAGTTTTGATATAATAATCTCTACGGTCCTTAGCTAAGACACCACTAAGTTGAACGAAAGAAGTGACCTCTTTCCAGTAGGCAGCACTGAGTGACTCGGATTGAATATCAGAAGGGACGCGAGTTTCTCCAGGGCTACAGATACACCTAGCTGACAAATGTCAACTAGCACGAAACCTATGTCCAAGGCTTACTGTCGATTGGCTCCAAACACCTAATATCAACAAATGAATGTGCACCGTGATGACGAGCTACGTAAAATGGGGTCCACATCGGAAACCTGACTGACAGAATTCAGTATATACCGAAGATAAGACTGGACAAATCACACTAGTTACCAATGTCCAATCAAAATATCAAATTTCTTCAACTGATAGGGAGTGCGATGGTTGTGGTTCCATGTTTATTTCATCACCTCAGTCTTCTCTCTGTTTACTTGATGTCTTGTTCAGCATAAATCATGCGTGATGTTAAGAGCTTCCATGGTCTTCTTATTGGTCCAGTATATTCCTATGTACTTGGCTTCTCTCCACAATCACCGTCATAATCCTGTCCACTGAAGCCTTGTCTTACTCCTGTATTCACTTGTCTTCGCTGAGCTGTCCGTTTTGGATTACTCAACATGTGGCATCGCCGTATATTTGTTGAACTAAGTTTAAGGAGTTTTACTCCACGGTCAGCCAAGACAAAAGCTTATTCAAAGTCGATGAAGATGAGATGATGGCCTGGCTATGTTCGTTTTTGACGATGATGCACAGAGTTGTAATTTGACCCTTCCATTGCTCGGTTTGCCCGAGTCCAGCTTGTACCGGCTGGTGGAGTTCTGCACCTAGTGTATCTTCTACTCTCACTATGGAAATTATCATAATATTTTGCTTGGCATGGACAAGTGCATGAATCTGCACGAGTTCGTATGGATGCGCAACTCACCCTTCTTTGTTAGTCTGGCAAGGCAACGTCTCTCCCAACCAGACGGTAGCTCTATTTTCTTCAAATGATTTTGATATCACTTAGGAAAACAATATTGAAAAGCAAACTTTTTCTTTGAAATTTTTGCTTCAAATATGTGTAACTGGAAGTTGTCGGCAAAAAGAAGTGGACCTAGGTTCACTACTCGCCCGTAGTCATTAGCATGATATACCTGGGAAGTAGAAGCAATCGGCGTTCTTCCAATCCTGTGTACTTTATTGGCAAACCATTTAGGATGGTGGCTACATCCGATGGGGGTCAGTCTTCATCAAACCAAGGATCAGATGCTTGACACCAGTTCTAGCCTTGATTCAATAGAATCTGTTAGTATTATTCAGAAGCATGTTTCTAGTGACATTTCACAGAGATTGAAATAAAGGTTTTGAATTTCTGAGATAATCAGAGATAGAAGTCTATCATACCGTCCGACCGATAAATCTGTGATATTCTCCACTGACTGTTTTCAACCTAGAACTTTGCAAATAAGTACGGCAGTCGTCGTTTTTATGGTTTGTTAATTTAGCTGGACCTCAGCTGCAGTTTTGATTTCTGGATTGTCTTCAGTCTTACTTGGTGTATTTTTTGTGCATATATTTTATTCAGACAAGTAACAGTGATCTTGATATCGTCTCATTAATTGACTAGTTTTAAAATAGAAACTTTCTCAGAAGTGCAGTGACTTGAATCGTCAACCTCCTTGTGGCCAAAAAATGAAAAGGAAAGAGAATAAAGAATAGAATTTGCATACTGCAGTACAATGTAATCTCATAACTTTAATATCTCTTATATTCCGAGTAGAACATAGGGCTTCAAGCTAGAGTTTTCAAGTTTCGGTATCAGTAGTGTTTTACTCCTATGGGATGGGCCTGCTAGCCTCATGCTTAACCTGCCCTTTTACATGTCACTACTGACTTATTGTAATGCGTCGGCAGAGGTTCGAACCACGAACCACATGCATGGTCGGTGAGCATTCTACCTGTGTGCCATCGACTCATATTTCCAATATGGATAAAATGTGTTTCGATTAAGTTACACAGTATTATACAGTAATCTTTCCCGACAACGTTTCAAGCAAAATTTATCGGTGGTGATAACAATATGAAGCTACTCACACAACTCTCCAACTTCATTAATGCTGTTCCCTTATTTCTCATCTTGATTGGTTATAATATATTTATATTTTGAGATGAGTGGTGAGTCATTTCAATTGCATGTGTTGGGTGTAGATACAAAGAAACTGAATCTTTGTCAGTAGAATAAACGGTTTAATGGCCAGTCAACAATCCAGAATTTTCAAATGTATAATAATAATAATAATTTTTGCTTTATTCCAAAAACAGTACTCATGATACAGCAAGGAATTTTCAGCATTCAGTACAATATTGCATCTAATTTACTCAAAAACGACAAAAAAATAAAAATACACAATACATAATAGTAATAAAACGATTGTTATAGCAGCTACGTAGCAAAATACTGTGTGCCATACGGAGAAAAATATGTATAAAGTACAAAATTGTAGTAATAATAGTAATACCAACTAATATAAAATAGCAGAGTAACGATTTAAACGATAGAAAGTGTGACACCATAAAATACAGAAAGATGAACGATAAAAGGGTCGATTCACTGTGCTAATTACATAGTAACTTGTAAGTTTCACGTCTAACAGAGTCTTCGTCACATAAAGTACGCGCTAAATAGGGTATTGTAGAATTTCTATACTTAGTAGTACGAGCATATATCTTTTTATATTGACTTCTCGTCCTACCTGATGAGATACAAGGGGACAGGTGTGAATAAAGGGGGTGCAGAGGGTCTGACATTATAGCCTTTGCCCATTTCGTACAGGAATTTATATGCCTCTCGACTATAGTATTAGCGAGCTCATGCAGTGGCAGACCACAAGCTCTACTCACAGCATTTAATACTCTTCGTAATATGATATAATCTTTTTTGAGAAGCCCAGGAAAGATTAATGGAGAGCAGTAGAGTACAATAGGTAAAATACAGGAGTTTAAAAATTGCAAAACTAAAGGTTGGTTGATACCTGATTGTCTTAACTTTTTAATGTAGAAGGTAAGACGAAACATTTTCTTAGAGATAGATAAGATATGGGATGACCATGAAAGGTCAGAGGAAAAAACTAATCCAAGGTATTTAATGCTTGATTTGGTTTCAATTTCCGTGCCATCTATGCTACAGGGATCATGCGAGTTAACTAGTTCAAGTAAGTCACGTCGATGCTTGAAAGTAAAGTCAAGCCTGACATTTGGAAGGATTTAATATAAGACCATTTGACTTGGACCAGTTGTTGATGTCCAACAGAAAGCTATTAAGTTTGGAGCTGTCAGACTCGGAAGTGATAGGCAGTGATACAGTCAGATCATCTGCATATTTGACAAAGTTAGTTTCGTTTGAATGAGGCAGGTCATGTAGGAAGAAAGAAAAAAGAAAAGGAGAGAGGACAGCACCTTGTGGAACACCGGATTTTGTAAGCGAGGTAGAAGAAGATTTGCCGTTATATACAGTATACTGCATTCTATCAGAAAAATAGGAATGCAACCAACTCTTAGCCCAGGATCCTGTTTGTGTCAACGATAGCTTATTTAACAAAAGGCCCCTAGGTACAGAGTCAAAAGCAGATGTGTAGTCTAAGAAAGCACTACGAACATATTTAGCACCTTTGTCTAAACAAGAGACAACATTGTGATATAAGACAACCGCAGCATCCAAGGTACTTCTACCATGTTTGTATGCAAATTGTTTAGGATCATTAAAAGGTTTCAAAGCGGGTTCAAGACGAAGTAAAAGTAATTTTTCCATCAATTTTAAAAAGGGGGAAGT